ACAGTACTAGCTCCCATCTTGTTCCTCATCCTCATATCCGACATAGACAAGGATGTCAGCCACAGCACCGTGTCTTCCTTTGCAGATGACACCCGAATCTGCATGACAGTGTCTTCCATTGCAGACACTGCAAGGCTCCAGGCGGACATCAACCAAATCTTTCAGTGGGCTGCAGAATTATTATTATAATCAAAAAGAAGCGCTAAGCCACAAGGGCTATACAGCATGGGCTGCAGAAAACAATATGAAGTTCAACGATGAGAAATTTCAATTACTCAGATATGGTAAACATGAGGAAATTAAATCTTCATCAGAGTACAAAACAAATTCTGGCCACAAAATAGAGCGAAACACCAACGTCAAAGACCTGGGAGTGATTATGTCGGAGGATCTCACCTTCAAGGACCATAACATTGTATCAATCGCATTGCTAGGAAAATGAAGGATGGATATGAGAACCTTCAAAACTAGGGAGGCCAAGCCCATGATGACACTCTTCAGGTCACTTGTTCTATCTAGGCTGGAATATTGCTGCACTCTAACAGCACCTTTCAAGGCAGGTGAAATTGCCGACCTAGAAAATGTACAGGAACTTTCACGGCGCGCATAACGGAGATAAAACACCCAATTACTGGGAGCGCTTGAGGTTTTCTAAACCTGTATTCCCTGGACGCAGGAGGGGAGAGATACATGATTATATACACCTGGAAAATCCTAGAGGGACTAGTACCGAACTTGCACACGAAAATCACTCACTACGAAAGCAAAGACTTGGCAGACGATGCACATCCCCCAATGAAAAGCAGGGGTGTCACTAGCACGTTAAGAGACATACAATAAGTGTCAGGGGCCCGAGACTGTTCAACTGCCTCCCAGCACACATAAGGGGGATTACCAACAGACCCCTGGCAGTCTTCAAGCTGGCACTGGACAAGCACCTAAAGTCAGTTCCTGATCAGCCGGGCTGTGGCTCGTACGTTGGTTTGCGTGCAGCCAGCAGCAACAGCCTGGTTGATCAGGCGCTGATCCACCAGGAGGCCTGGTCACGGACCGGGCCGCGGGGGCGTTGATCCCCGAAACTCTCTCCAGGTAAACTCCAGGTATCGGTATAGGTTCTGTAGACTGGTTTAAGTCCTACCTTAGCAACAGGAGACAAATTGTCAAAATCAACAAAACGGAATTAGAACCCCTGCCGATAACATGTGGAGTTCCCCAAGGTAGTATCCTGGGTCCCTTATTATTCTTATGTTATGTCAATGACATGCCTATCAGTGTCAAGTGCAAACTCTTACTGTATGCAGATGACAGTGCCCTGTTAGTGTCAGGTAAAGACCCACAAGATATAGCTAATGTTTTAACACTGGAACTGGAGTCCTGCAGCAAATGGTTAGTAGACAACAAACTATCATTACACCTCGGGAAAACTGAAGCCATTCTCTTTGGCACGAAACAAACTGAGAAGGGTAAATAATTTTAATGTCCAGTGTAATGGGGAGCCCATCACTTTGGTTTCATCAGTAAAATATCTGGGAATCCCCTTTGACCCATGCATGTCAGGAGAATTGATAGGGAACAGTGTAGTAAAGAAAGAGAATGCCATACTGAAGTTCCTGTATAGACAAGCACAGTGTCTACCTACTGAGGCTCGCAGAACCCTACGTCTAGCCCTTATACAATGCCATATGGATTACGCTTGCTCTTCATGGTACTCTGCCTTGACAAAAAAACTGAAAGATAGACTACAAATCACCCAGAACAAAATCGTGAGATTCATCTTGGGGCTGGGACCAAGAGAACATGTAGGCCAGGATGAATTACAGCAGTTGGATATGCTGAATGTTGAAGACAGAGTAAAACAACTGAAGCTAAATCATGTTTATAAAATTGCTCACAAACAGTGCCCAGAATATCTTGCTGTCAATTTTGTCAAGGTTGGGAACCAAAACAATCATAGTACTAGGGGGAGAGAGCACATCTTCGTAGTACCCACAGTCAGTGGCCAGGCGTCAAACACCTTTTATTGTACAGCAATAAAGGAATGGAACAGACTACCCGCACATGTCAAAGCCAGTCTTAGCATGAACCAGTTCAAGAAGAGTGCCAAAAGGTGTCTGATGAATGTAACATACGTGTAAATTTTACCTTATTCCTAGTAATGACCCTCGTATTGTAGATAGTCTTAATGACCCTCGTGTAGTAGATAGTCTTTTTAGTATGATAATAAGATGTTATCTTCATTATAGAATAATAAGAAAATATTATAACCTTTATATTATAATAATAAGGTAAAAGGACCCCAATGGAAATAAGTCACTGTGTCTGACTTTTTTGGGTTATCCCAGGTTCTCTACACATATGCTGCTATGTCTGATAATTCTATGTAACTGCATTTGTGTAAACCTGAATAAACTTACTTACGCTGTGTGAAGCAGAGCTTTAGGGGTAAATAGATTTCTCGGCGCGAACGAAAAATTTTGTCGAAAAATTCACAAATTGAGTTAATCTTATAGAAAAATAGCTTAACTCTCTGGCAACACAGTGGTACCAGAATCATTGTTCTACGACAATCCTACAAGGAATTACGGTCATTTAAAACACCTAGGGTGACGTCACCACCCGCGGTAGGTGTGCTCACCTGTCGTCAATTTTTATTTTTTTTCCGTTTTTTTTTCGTGTATTTATTGTATTATTTTTTCTAAGATAATAATTGACGATTTGGCATCATAATATAGTGGGTAGGACTTATCCGTAGACTTCCAGCCTACCAGGAACCTCCTGGCACCATTTTGCTGACGTCATGGAAAATTCCAGTCTCGGGGTGGCCAGGGAATATGCTTCAATATAACGCTATTATAGCTTCTACGGCTTATTTATCTGTCACAATTGATCTAATATGACATAATAAACAATATAAATAACAAAGAAATATGGTAAATACTCCAGAATGAATAATATATGGCATATACTTCCAGCGCTCCCTCTGGAATATAATATAATATGGTCAGGAATGGGCTTCCATTCTTCTTCTTTCACCTCCAGGGTCCTTATATTAAAGAAAACGAACATGGGTAACTATGATATACACTCATAATGCTGAGAAAAAAATGCTATTTTCTCGAAAAAAAAAGTCGGTGGTCCGGCTGTTTCGCGGATTATCTCGGAAGTAAGTTATTCACATATATAAGACAGTGTTTTCGTTAATAATAGCAGGAATGCAATGAAATTCACAGAGAACATAAAGGAAAGATTGTTTTACAAACAAACGCGACGGGCTGGAGTTTTGAGACTCTATGACCGCGGGTTCAATCCCGGCCGGGGGTATGGTTTATGGAAACGTTTGCCTTTTTGAGATATCATAATTTGTTTTTGATTTTTGTGAGGGCAAAAGTCAGATATTTGGCTGAATGTCAAAACCATACAAACTTTAGTTTTTTTAAGAATGAAGGAAGGATAAATTACAGTTCTGGCAATTGTTATAAATACAGTTTAGCATTGTTTTATGCGTAGATAATGCCAAAACAGCTTCTCCAAGTCCCATTACGAAAATACTGTTCAATATGTATGATTATTAGTAAATAATTTTTTTCTCAGTTGTTTCTTGAGCTATCTTATTGAAACTTGGTCACATTACTATTGAAAGGTGCTTCTTTACGTACAAAAAAATGAAAGAAATCGAACGAAAAATAAAAAAGTTCAGGTGCTACCGTAGGGTATACCCCTTTAGGGATCAACTCACGGGGCACCGTGTGCGTTCTACGTCTTGGAAATAAGTCACTTTGTCTGACTTTTTGGGGTTATCGTAGGTTCTCTACACATATGCTGCTATGCATGATAATCTATGTAAGTGTATACTCGAATAAACTTACCTACTTACAAGACTGATGGACTGAACACATTGATTCCAGGCTGAGGGACTGATTACCTCAAACTCCAACTCTCATTACACCTTTCTACTTTGTATTGGACTGATGAAGCCACTGCATGGCGAAACGTTTCTTCAATAAAGATTCCCGTATGTTGCATAAGTTTCTCAATCTTCAGTAAAATAGGTACCTGGGTGTTAGTCGACTGGTGTGGGTCTCATCCTGGGGACAAAATTGACCTAATTTGCCCGAAATACTCTTCATTGATTCAGATTTTCTATTTCCGTGCAAGTTTACAATGTGGTTGACATATTGCAAGAAGTATATATACATACGTAGTTTACAGTGAGGGTTTACAATGATTTATAGTGCATAGACAGCATAAGAACATAAGAACGAAGGAACACTGCAGCAGGCCTACTGGCCCATGCGAGGCAGGTCCAAGTCTCCTACCGGTTTAAGCCAATGCACCCAACCTAGTCAGGTCAGTTCACATTGACTTAAGGGAGGAACACTGCAACCGACCTGGTAGCACAAGCTAATCAGGTTCAACTTACGCCCACCCACACCCACTCATGTATTTATCCAACCTAATTTTAAAGCTACACAACGTTCTGGCCTCTATAACTGTACTTGGGAGTTTGTTCCACTCATCCATAGAATTAATGTTAAGAATTAATCTAAGTCTGCCCGAAATGCCTAGCCATGCTTGGTGTCCTAGTGGCCCCCTCTGTAATTAGTATTTTATAACATGTAAACCACACAATACCCAAAACCTGTAAACCCCACATTGTAACCCTTATACGTTGTATAGCCCTTGTGGCTTGGCGCTTCTTTTTGATTATAATAATAATAATGTAACCCTTATAGAGAATAAAATTGAATTAAATTGAATCATGCTTTGGCATTACGGGCAGTCTATATAGTAGTATATTACTGAAGTCAGCTAGGCCTGTGTACATTGTACATGTACTTGTAGTAAATAAAGATATTATTATCTGTATGACTGTCTGACTTTTTTGGGTTATCCTAGGTTCTCTACACATATGCTGCTATGTATGATGATCTATGTAACTGTATTTGTGTATACCTAAATAAATTTACTTATTATTATGACACCGGGAAATAAGGCGCCATTCATACTGCATAAGCTGTGAGTGGTCCTTACAAACCCAAGATCAAGCCGAAATTACCAATTTTGAACAGACAAGTAATCTCGCCTGGACATTATCCTGGTGAATATTATACATACATATGATTGCCATAAGAGCAGACACCACTGACCCAACACAAACTGCATGTATGACGAAAAACCAAAACTAGTCACTTCACATCCCAGCACGTGCAGTCATCAGGGAGAGAAAGGAACCTTGAATCAACCAGCAAGTGTCCTGAACTACTCATGTAGGGACAACAGACATTGAACCAACATTATACACTATAACAAGTGCAGCCATCAGGAGAAGAAACATTTTATATAAGGTGGAAACATCTTGAAAGATTGTTACAGCATCAAGTTGTGGGTGTTGGTGGTGCATGATGAGTGAGATGATGGATCCCAGCAAGATGAAGGTGGCTGATTTACGGACGGAGCTGCAGAATCTTGGCCTCGACACCAAGGGAAATAAACCGGCGTTGGTGGAGCGGCTTAAGGAGGCTCTGGAAGGCAAGGCTGCAGGTTGGTACACTTAATATTATTATTATTATTCTCCCTCACACATTCACAATATATTCTTTACCTGTAAGTTTATTTAAGCACAAGTACACATAAGTACATTATCATACATAGTGTAAGTTACCTAGAATAATCCAAAAAAGTCAGACAGAGATTTATTTTCATTAGTTTCTTGTCGTGTGTTATTGTGCCTGTGTAGGAAGAAGGTTACTGTGGAAATGGGAATAGAATTATAATCTAAATTTATTTAGATCTTAGTCAAGTGAATGTGAAAAAGAACTACTTCTGGCTAGGGGAAATTTGATGTCAAAGACAATAGTGCATAAGTGTTTGCACTAAAGCTAGTAGAATCATGGCTTTATGCAAAAATGCATAAATAATAGAAGTCCTAAAGTTATACATTATATATCTGCTTAGGCCTGATTTAGATTATACTACTTAGCTCTAGTCTCCATATTACACGACAGACAAATTTGCTCAAAAATTTTCAGAGATAGAAGACGAAGTTGATTCTATATTTTAGGAATCTTTCCAATGAAAATAGGAAGAAGACATTGAACTTGCATTCTTTGGAAGGTTTAATTAGGAGAGAGATGATTGTAATGTACAAATGGAAAACAGGAATAAATAAGAGAGGATATAAATAGTGCGTAAATCTATTCAGGTACAGGTATGCATAAATACCATTACATAAATTATCATACATAGTACCTTATCTGTAGATTACCTAGGATAACCAAAAAAAGTATCTAAGACAGGACTCGCATTGGATTCAAGTTGGAGAAATTTAGATCTAGAAAGGTGATTGGGAAGTACAGTACTAGTTTGGCAACAGAGTTGTAAATGAGTGAAGCAGACTCCCAGGTAGCATCATTGAAGCAAGAACTTTGGGTTACTTAAATGTAGATTGTAATGGTACATGAGTAGGTGTGGGTGGGTGAGAGTTGGACCTATGTATTTAGCATGAACCAGTAGGCCTGCTGCAGTGTTCCTTTGTTCTTATGAGATCACGTCTACAAGAACAACAATAATGGAACACTGAAGTAGGGTTTTTGGATTATGCTAGGCAGGTTCTATTCACACTACTTATTCTCATTCATGTATTTATGTAGCCTGTTGTTAAGCCTACCTACCCAAAATTTTGTCATTTGTAACAGAGAGACCCCGGAACCCACTGACAGTAAGTCACATTATTTAACTTTATTGGGATGTCCTGGGTTAAATCTGTATATGTAGGGCTATAGTTACTGACTGCTACTCGGCAGCATTAAGATAAGATTTCGTTCGGATTTTTAACCCCGGAGGGTTAGCCATCCAGGATAACCCAAGAAAGTCAGTGCGTCATCGAGGACTGTCTAACTTATTTCCATTGGGGTCCTTAATCTTGTCCCCCAGGATGCGACCCACACCAGTCGACTAACACCCAGGTACCTATTTGCTGCTAGGTGAACAGGACAACAGGTGTAAGGAAACGTGTCGAAATGTTTCCACCCGCCGGGAATCGAACCCGGGCCCTCCGTGTGTGAAGCGGGAGCTTTAGCCACCAGGCCACCGGGCCACCATTCAGGCATTAGTTTACATTTTGCAATACAGGGGGATACATTCCAAAGCCCACTGTGGATTCCTGAAACCATGGATAATAGCAAACCCTATATATACATGTAATATATATATATATATACATGTATATATATATATGCATGTATATATATATATATATATATATATAAATTATATATATATATATATATAATATATATATATATATATATATATATATACATGTATATATATATATATACATGTATAATATATATATATATATATACATGTGTGTTATATATATTATATATATATATATATTATATATATATATATATATATTATATATATATATATATATATATATATATATATATTGTGTGTGTGTGTGTGTGTGTGTCATTTTCATTTACATACATATCTTTGATAAAGTTTGATAACTTATGCATAATATGCAAAATAAGTCTAGAACTAACACTTTTTTTAATGATGGGAAGCATTTCATGGCTTCTCTTAAGTTTTGCAGAATGGCCAGCATCACTACTTTTGCACTCTGGGCCATTATTAAGCAAAATTAAGGGTTAGTTTTGGAACACAGTAAACAGTGGATAACTGAAACTGCAGATACTGAATCTGTGGATATGGGGGTTCTGCTGTACATACAATGTATGTAAATTGTTATTTTGGGAGATGTTAATGAAAATAGTACACTGCCTATTATTGTATCTTGTCACTTGCCATCCAGTTATAAATAAAATAGTAACATAAGATTTTGTTTGAATTTTCAAAATGGATAACCCAATAAAGTGCATCATTGGGAAATGTCAGTTTTATTTTAACATAAGAATGGAGGAACACTGGAAGAAGACTACCGGCCTTTTTAATCTTCTACTGGGCCCTTTAATCTTATCCTTCAGGGTGTGACCCACAATGGGTGCCTATTTATGGCTTGGTGAACAGGGGCAGCAAATGTAAGGAAATGTGCCCAAAGTCTCACCCATACTGGGCAGTGATCCCTAGTTCTCAGTGTGTGAGCTGAGGATGTTATCAGCTGAGCCAACTATGGAAAAATATCAGATGATTTCATCAACACTCACTCCATCGCTGTCTTGCCAGTGGTGCACCAACATTACAGCTCAGATCCCTCCTCTAAATGGTAATATCCCCCCCCTTTCCCAGAGTCCATATTCCCTGAATACTTTCATAAATGTCACCATGCTCATGCTCTAACAGCATATTTAAATCATAAAGATCACTTGCCTCCACTTGCTCCTATCTAACACATTTACACACACCTGTTGGATGTCCAAGCCCCTTTTCATACAAAACCCTTTACCCCCTCCCTCCAACCCGTCCTAGGACAACTTTTACCCCTCTTTCCCTTCACTGCAGTTTTTACACCCCTCATGTCAACCTATTTTTCTCCATCTTTAAATGTCCAACCACTTCAATTAACCCCTCCTCATCCTACTATTCACACCGCACATTGCCCTCAGACATGACATCTCTACTGCTTCCAGCCTCCTCCTCGCAGCAACATGTAAAATCCACTAATACTCCCTTTTACATTCCCTATTTTGCCTCCATTTGGGTATTATTTTTTTGTCTCCACAATGCCTCACTCACCATCCACCTTTTTTCATCATTTCTGTGGTTCACCTCATCTTTCATAGACCTGTCCACCGACAAATCCACTCCCAAATATCTGATTACATTCATTTCCTCCATACTCCTTCCTTCCAGTATTTTAAATTTTTTATTACCTAATTTTTTTTTTACCCTCATCACCTTGCTCTTTCCTGTGTTCATTTATAATTCCTTCTTTTACAACACCCCAAATTATTTCACCAACCTTTGCAACTTCTCACAAAGTAATGTGTCATTGGCAAAAAGCAACTGCAACAACTCCCACCTTTTAATTAGATTCTTTATCTTTTAATCCCACACACCTCCCAAAACCCCTAGCATTCATTTCTTTACAACCCCATTTTTAAAAAATAAAAAAAAAAGGGAATCATGGGGGACTTTGCATCCCTGTCTAAGGTTTACTTTTAGGGGAAAAATAATTTCTCTCCTATAAAACCCAAACATGACCCTGGGCAGTCCCCCCAAAAAAAACCTTCGGGGTGTTTTTAACCCTGACTTTTTTACGCCATATTTAAAAAAGTCTTACGCCCACGTTTTTGACGTTTTATATACTCATAAATTCTAGCGGCTTCAAATCAAGCGGGAGAAAGCTGGGAGGGGGCCCCCCTTTTTAGAGAATGGGGTTGGGGTGGCCCGTGTGCACCCCATAAAAAAAAAACCTGCAGCCCCACAGTTCGTTAAAGAGAAAAAAAACGGGCCGATTTTTTTTGGGTTTTGACACCCACTTTGAAGTGTATTTTCGTTATGAATTTTAAAACATTTTATTTTTCGGGTTTTTATGGTCCCTTTTTTGATAAAAAGGAAAAAATATTAAAAGAAATTTCAGGGTGATTTTCATTTTCTTTCACATGGAAACTACCTTGAAAAATGCTCAAAGTAGCAGAAAGGTTTTGATTTTTTACCCCAAAGTTCAGGAGTAACAAAACAACCTCACGTCCAAATTTCACCCCAACTGGGGAGTCTGGGTATTCTTTCACTAGTGCACTGATATATATACCATTTTTAAAATAATGCAGTAGTCTGCATACCAGTAAATTTTGTATTTTTTTGTATGAATAAAAAATCAAATTAGAAAGCAATAGTAATATAAGAGGGGCCTAGAATAGAGGATATGTTATTTTAGTGCCAAGAATGTCTACCTGGAGTTTACCTGGAGAGAGTTCCGGGGGTCAACACCCCCCGCGGCCCGGTCTGAGACCAGGCCTCCGGTGGATCAGAGCCTGATCAACCAGGCTGTTGCTGCTGGCTGCACGCAAACCAACATACGAGCCACAGCCCGGCTGATCCGGAACTGACTTTAGGTGCTTGTCCAGTGCCAGCTTGAAGACTGCCAGGGGTCTGTTGGTAATCCCCCTTATGTGTGCTGGGAGGCAGTTGAACAGTCTCGGGCCCCTGACACTTATTGTATGGTCTCTTAACGTGCTAGTGACACCCCTGCTTTTCATTGGGGGGATGGTGCATCGTCTGCCAAGTCTTTTGCTTTCGTAGTGGGTGATTTTCGTGTGCAAGTTCGGTACTAGTCCCTCTAGGATTTTCCAGGTGTATATAATCATGTATCTCTCCCTCCTGCGTTCCAGGGAATACAGGTTTTAGGAAACCTCAAGCGCTCCCAATAATTGAGGTGTTTTATCTCCGTTATGCGCGCCGTGAAAGTTCTCTGTACATTTTCTAGGTCGGCAATTTCACCTGCCTTGAAAGGTGCTGTTATGTGTGCAGCAATATTCCAGCCTAGATAGAACAAGTGACCTGAAGAGTGTCATCATGGGCTTGGCCCCTCCCTAGTTTTGAAGGTTCTCATTATCCATCCTGTCATTTTTCTAGCAGATGCGATTGATACAATGTTATGGTCCTTGAAGGTGAGATCCTCCGACATGATCACTCCCAGGTCTTTGACGTTGGTGTTTCGCTCTATTTTGTGGCCAGAATTTGTTTTGTACTCTGATGAAGATTTAATTTCCTCATGTTTACCATATCTGAGTAATTGAAATTTCTCATCGTTGAACTTATATTGTTTTCTGCAGCCCACTGAAAGATTTGGTTGATGTCTGCCTGGAGCTTTGCAGTGTCTGCAATGGAAGACACTGTCATGCAGATTCGGGTGTCATCTGCAAAGGAAGACACGGTGCTGTGGCTGACATCCTTGTCTATGTCGGATATAAGGATGAGGAACAAATGGGAGCGAGTACTGTGCCTTGTGGAAACAGAGCTTTTCACCGTAGCTGCCTCGGACTTTACTCTGTTGACGACTACTCTCTGTGTTCTGTTAGTGAGGAAATTATAGATCCATCGACCGACTTTCCTGTTATTCCTTTAGCACGCATTTTGTGCACTATTACGCCATGGTCACACTTGTCGAAGGCTTTTGCAAGTCTGTATATATTACATCTGCATTCTTTTTGTCTTCTAGTGCATTTAGGACCTTGTCGTAGTGGTCCAATAGTTGAGACAGACAGGAGCGACCTGTTCTAAACCCCTGTTGCCCTGGGTTTTGTAACTGATGGGTTTCTAGATGGGTGGTGATCTTGCTTCTTAGGACCCTTTCAAAGATTTTTATGATATGGGATGTTAGTGCTATTGGTCTGTAGTTCTTTGCTGTTGCTTTACTGCCCCCTTTGTGAGTGGGGCTATGTCTGTTGTTTTTAGTAACTGTGGGACGACCCCCGTGTCCATGCTCCCTCTCCATAGGATGGAAAAGGCTCGTGATAGGGGCTTCTTGCAGTTCTTGATGAACACAGAGTTCCATGAGTCTGGCCCTGGGGCAGAGTGCATGGGCATGTCATTTATCGCCTGTTCGAAGTCATTTGGCGTCAGGATAACATCGGATAGGCTTGTGTTAATCAAATTTTGTGGCTCTCTCATAAAAAATTCATTTTTATCTTCGACTCTCATTCTGGTTAGCGGCTTGCTAAAAACTGAGTCATATTGGGACTTGAGTAGCTCACTCATTTCCTTGTTGTCATCTGTGTAGGGACCCATCTTGTTTAAGAGGGGCCCAATACTGGACGTTGTTCTTCGATTTTGATTTGGCATAGGAGAAGAAATACTTTGGGTTTCTTTCGATTTCATTTATGGCTTTTAGTTCTTCCCGCGATTCCTGACTCCTAAAGGATTCTTTTAGCTTAAGTTCGATGCTTGCTATTTCTCTGACCAGTGTCTCCCTAGCATTTCAGATATATTGACCTCTTTTAGCGCTCTGTTATTCTTTTCCGTCGCCTGTAAAGGGAGCGCCGTCTCTTTTGTTTACATCTACTCCTCCTTTTTCTTAGAGGAATAAGCCTTGTGCATACATCGAGTGCTACCGAGTTAATCTGTTCTAGGCATAAGTTGGGGTCTGTGTTGCTTAGTATATCTTCCCCGCTTATATCGGTTAGGACTTGGTTTTCTTGGTCCCACTTTATGTTTTTGTTATTGAAGTTGAATTTGGTGAATGCTCCCTCGTGACTAATCTCCTTATGTCGGTCTGGGGCTCCGCGCAAAACATGACTGAACCTCAATTATGTTGTGATCTGAGTATATTGTTTTGATATGGTGATATTTTTTAAATCGATCATCATTGTTAGTGAAGATGAGGTCTAGTGTATTCTCCAGTCTAGTAGGCTCTATTATTTGCTGGTTTAAATTAAATTTTTTGTGCAGAGATTTAAAAGCTCGCGTGAGTGGTGAGTTTTATCAGAGCTGCCTCCTGGTGTTATTACTGCAACAATTTTTTTTGCTATATTCCTCCATTTTAGGTCCCTTAAGTTGAAAATCCCCGGGAGCAAGATGTTGGGTGCAGGAGCTGGAAGGTTTTCCAGACAGTGGTCAATTTTTAAAACAGCTGTTCCTGGAATTGCTGGGATGTTGCATCCGGAGGCTTGTAGACTATCACAATGACTAGGTTTTGGTTCTCGACCTTTACTGCTAAAACTTCCACTACATCAAATTTTAGGCATTTAGCAGTTCTGTGCAAACAAAATGACTCTGCAATGTACAGGCCAACCCCCCCCCTTTTGCCTGTTCACTCTGTCCCCATCTGTAGGTTGTAACCTGGGATCCATATTTCGTTGTCCAAGTGATCCTTTATGTGGGTTTCGTGAAGCCGCGAAACATTCCTTTGCCTCTGCAAGCGTCCCGGATGAAAGGTATTTTGTTGTTTGTTGCTGGCTTTAGACCCGTATATTTGCAAAGAGAATGTTATCGGACTGGTTGGTATTGTTGGTTTCTGGGGGGGGATTTTTTTTCTCGGCATTAGTATCTGTATCTGTTGGTTTGGAGTGGAGGCCATCGACTGTGGTTCCACTCCAGGAATGACTGGATTTTGGTGTACGATTTCTGCCATTTCCTGCCGTTTTTTTTCCTTCCTGGCACTAAAAAACCTCTCCCTCTTGAGTGGCTGTGGCTACCCAGGTTTTTTCCCCTGGCCTGGATTTTTTGTATCTTTTTGTCCCCTTTAGAGGGTATGCCTGGCAATTTAAGTTATAGCACAGTCTTTCCTGTACTGAAGGGGGTACACAGTTCAGGGTTGAAAAAGCTTACAGGAAGGGAGTTTGCTTTTTCCCTGTTGTCATATGGGCATGGCATTTCCTAGGGTGGTCATGTTGCACGTCCCATCTGTTTTTCCAGATTTCCCATGCCAGCAGATACCGAGTGCATAGTATGTGCACAGGCTTGGTTTCCGTTTGCCTTGGGTTTCTGGGGACTGTATTCCCTGTTGGTGCATGTTTCCCTGTCTTACTTCTATCCTCCCTAGCACCAACAATGGAGCTCCCACCATTTGTTTTTGGTAATATATCCTCACTATTGCTAGTGGAGTCCTCTTGTTTGCTATTTCCTGCGGTATTTCTAGTTTGCAATATTGGTTTTATCTTATCTTTGACTACACTTGTTTCCCTACTATGGCTCCTGTCCTTGTTTATTTTGGACCCTATTTTGAAATTGGCATCTTTTTTGATTTGCATGAAATTGGCCAAATTGCCAATTACTGACCACTTTATTGGGTAGTTCAAATAGGTAAATGGGCAGTTTCTTGTACTCAACTGATAGATAAAATGGAGTTCTAAAGAAATAGCTATGAGTTTGGTCAACTGGAACAACTGAATTGGCTAAAAACAGGGCTTAAAGTCGGCAAAATCGCCAATACGTATATGTCGCCGAGACCGCTAACTTCGTGGGAGCGTAATTCCGTGAGTTTTCGACCAAATTTCGAACTTTTGGTGTCATTATCATCGGGAAAAGATTCTCTGTCATTTCCTAAGACAAAATTATTTTTTTTTTCTCAAAAATTTTGCGACATAGAATGACAGTTTCAGAAAGGGGCCTGCGACAGTCAAAGGGTTAAGTAATCTTCCACCTATTCCATACATTTGCAAGATCTGCCACATTGCACCCCTTAGTAACTCCATATATTTTTCTTGATACTGGCCATCTCCCACCAAGATAGGGGTAACCCAAAAACAAGAAACGCTTTCACCATCACTGATTTCCTGAGGCACGCTACTACTAAAGTTCAGAGTGCAGGTGCTGTACTTCCCACCTCCAGGACTTAAGTCCAGCTAATAAGTGTCCCGTGAATCTCTTCATCCCATTTCTTTGAGTGTATAGCATAAAAATTATGAAAATGATAAAAGTATCGAGAGACATTTCATCTCACGTTTGTTATCGTTGGGTTGAAGACCTATGATGGCTGTGCCCCATAACAGTTGACTAGCATCAAGGTACCGACTTACTGTTAGGTGAACAAAGCCAACAGGTATAAGAAAACATGCCCAACATTTCCACCTGTGCTATGGATTGAACCACAGTACTGTGAGCTGTGGGCACTACGAACTGGCCAGGGAAAACTTAATAGGTTTGGCCAATAATAATTTAACTTGAACACTGTGTAGTAGCAAATTAATTTATACTGTTTTTTATTGGTTTTAGATGTTAAAACTGAACAAGATAATGGTTTAGAAGTGGAGCTTGAAGAATTGAATGCAGAACCAATGGAATGTGAACAAACAGAAAAGGTAAGGCGAATTATTTCATTGTGCTCAGCTTACTATCTCAGTACTATGGTAAACAATATGGAAAAGGTAATGTTATTGGTTGCTTTCTGAACTTAGAGGTAGAATTAATTATTATGTCTTTGGTAAATTGCTAGCATCAGGGCACCACATATGAGATACCTCATGTTGATCGAGGTGACTGAGGCCTACTTCCTCAGTATGAACAAGAATGCAACCTTCTAGGTTAATCTTGTACAAGTCGGCCATCACTAATCTAGCAATCAGTCATCCGGTTCCATCAGTAATCCAGCACTAATTTCAGTTGCCATGAGCTCAGTCTCATGATGCAGGTGAATATGCTTTATTATTATGCTAATATCAACACTAGGGCTTATTTACCTATCACAATTGATATAATATGACATATTAAATAATATAAATAGCATAAACATGGTAAATATTCCAGAATAAATAATATTTGGCATAATACTGAGTGGGTCAACGGAGGTATGATGAGCATATGGCAGGGGTCGGCAACCTTGGTCTGCCTAGGGGCCAGAGCCCATGTCTGCGAGCGGATGGCTTGCCACACCTATCACCATAGTTAATAAATAGAGGTAATAGGTAGTAAGATGGTAGACAGCAACCATTTGGAGAGGTACTACCGTCCTACCAAGCGAGTGTAAAAAGGAAGCCTGTATTTGTTTTACGTGATGTTAGGATTGCTGGTGTCTTTTTTTCTGTCTCATAAACATGCAAGATTTCAAGTACATCTTGCTACTTCTACTTACACTTAGGTCACACTACACATACATGTACACGTTTATGTATACACACTCATCTGAGTTTTCTTTAATTTTATCTTAAGAGTTCTTGTTCTTATTGCTTTTCCTTCATATCCATGGGGAAGTAGAATAAGAATATTTCCTCTGTAAACCATGCGTGTTATAAAAGTCAACTAAAATGCTGGAAACAATGGGCTAGTAACCCCTTTTCCTGTATAGCTTACTAAAAAGAAAAAGAAGAAAACCATCAAAGTGGGATGTTTGAATGTGCGTGGATGTTGTGCGAATGATAAGAAAGAGATGATTGTGGATGTTATGAATGAAAAGAAGCTGGATGTCCTGGCTTTAAGTGAAACAAAGCTGAAGGGGGTGGGAGAGTTTCAGTGGTGAGAGATAAATGGGATTAGGTTGGGTTTCAAATAGTTAGAGCTAAAGAAGGAGTAGCAGTAATGTTGAATGATAAGTTATGGCAGGAAAAGAGGAAATATAAATGTATAAATTCAAGGATTATGTGGAGTAAAATAAGGGTTGGATGTGAAAAGTGGGTTATAGTAAGTGTTTATGCACCTGGAGAAGAGAGAAGTGTAGAGGAGAGAGAGAGATTTTGGGAAATGTTGAGCGAGTGCGTGGGGAGTTTTGAACCAAGTGAGAGAGTGCTTGTGGTTGGGGATCTCAGTGCTAAAGTGAGTAAAAATGTGGAGGGAGTAGTAGTAGTAGGGTGCCAGGGGTAAATGAAAATGGGGAGCCTTTAATTGAGCTATGTGTAGAAAGAGGTTTGGTAATAAGTAATACATATTTTATGAAAAAGAGAATAAATAAGTATACAAGGTATGATATAGCACGAAATGAAAGTAGTTTGTTAGGTTATGTATTGGTAGATAAAAGGTTGATGGGTAGGCTCCAGGATGTACATGTTTAAAGAGGGGCAACTGATATATCGAATCATGTTCAGTGACAGTGCCTTGTTCCACTTTAGGCAAATTTTAAACAGACGCCAGAAACAGACCTCTCTGGACAGATTTTTTGTGCCACAGAGGTCCAGTGACTCTCAAGCTGGTCCTAGTGCCAGTAAAAAACAAAGAAGGGAAGTAGCCCTAGATAGGGACTTGATACCTGAAGTCCTTATGGAAGGGGATTCCTCTTCCAAACAATAGCCTCTCCTCCCTCTCCCCTCCTCGCCGTCTTCCATATGCCAACAAGTCTTCAATAAAGGTAAAAGTTATGTTAAATATTCATTTTTCCATTTCATTAGTCCTTTATATTTATTTCTCATCGTTTTCTGTACGTAAAACTATAGTTATTCTCTATAAAATGTATTTTTTGTTAATACTTTTGGGTATCTGGAATGGATTAATTGAATTTACCTTATTTCTTATGGGAAATAATGATTCAGTTTTTGTCAAATTCGGTTTTCGTCAGACTTTCTGGCATGAATTAAAGACGAAAACTGAGGTTCCACTGTATCTCACTTAATCACATTATAATTTGATCTTTTTTACGACTTTTCATTTTACAACCCTGTTTTGCTGGAACCTAACCCTGTTGTACAACAGGTTCTGCCTGTACTGCTTTAATTTCTAGTGCAAAAATGAATATGTGAGGTATGTTTAGATATGTAAATAATGTTTGTGATGCATATTTTGACCATTCTGTACAAGTGAGCTTTCAGCAACAAAAAAGGCCAACATACATGTCAGCCTGCCTGATAACCATAAGTTTGCCCCATGGAATGTTTTTTTTTTTTTTCAACACATTGGCTGTCTCTCACCAAGGCAGGGTGACCCAAAAAAAGAAACACTTTCACCATCATTCACACAAAATTACTGTCTTTGCAGAGGTGCCCAGATATGACAGTTTAGATGTCCTTCCAAACAGCCAATATCCCAAACCCCTCCTTTAAAGTGCAGGCATAGTATTTTCCACCTCCAAGACTCAAGCCCATATTTTTTTTTATGTTGCAGATATGCATTTAGAGGTTTGGGTGTGCTCAGGTTGTCTTTATTGTCCTTGCAGGTCCCTAACAAAATGTTTTATGGCACTGACTCCCAGAAGATATCCAAATACCTGTGTGTTTCTGATGATAGTGAGTCTGATGACCAAGAATTGATTGACAGTGGTAATGAATACTTGCCAGGGGAATCAGAAATGTCAAGTGAAGATGAGACAGAAGAGAGACCAGCTAAAAAACCAAGAGTAGCCAAGAAAAAGAGAGGTATCATAGTAGAGGAATATCCTGATGAAGAAGACCTCCATGATGAACTTGCTCTCCAAGTTCAGACAGGCTGGCATCAGGAAGACATAAAAAATGATCCTTTGCCTGGATACCAACATAAAAGTGATGATGACATCTTGTCTCCATTTGATTATTTTAGTAAGTTTGTTACTAGAGAGATGATAGATAGCATCACTTTTCAAACCAATTTATATGCCAAGCAAAAAAATATAAAAACTAATTTTATAACTAATTTTGATGAAATCATGCAGTTTATAGGAATTTTGTTGTTCATGGGTGTATGTCAGTGTCCATCTTTAGATGACTACTGGGCAGGTGGTACAAAGGTAATTCAAGTTGCAGAGGTTATGTCGTCTAAGAGGTTTAAGTTGCTTAGACGTACAATTCATTTCAATGATGATAACATAAAGGATGGTGACAGGTACCACAAAATAAGGCCTCTTTTCAGTGCACTAACTGCTGCTTGCTTGAAAATTCCAGCAACACCCAGGCAGTCTATTGATGACGTTATGGTTGGCTTCAAAGGAGCAACAGCTGGAAACCTAAAGCGATATATGAGAGACAAAAGAGACAAGTGGGGCTTTAAACTTTTTTGCCGTGCAAGTGAAGATGGAGTGATACATGACATACTCATGTATCAGGGAACTAAAACTTTTGATATGCATCCTGTAAAGCTGCCAAATGAATATAATGCACAACCAATAAGCTCCAAGGTTGTGCTTGTACTTGCATCAACTCTGGACAAGACAAAGACATCAGCAATCTATGCTGACAATTTCTTTACAAGTCTTTCTTTAGTAAAGATATTGAAAAACAAGTATAACTGCAGATACACTGGTCATGCATATGAAAATAGATGTGGTACCCCAGGACTGATGCCTGTTAAGGAAATGGAAAAGAAAATAGTACCCAGGGGCACTACTGATTATAAGAGCAATGATGGCATCCTTGCTGTAAGATGGAAGGATAACAAAGTTGTTACTTTACTGACAAATGATGTGGGGGTCCATCCTGTGACTCCTATTACAAGTTATAATAAGGAAACCAAGAAGAGAGAAAAGTTCAGCTGCCCTGCAGTAATCAAGAACTATAATGCACACATGGGTTGTATAGATAAAAGTGATATGCTGGTGCATTTGTACAAAACACCAATGAAATCTAAACGTTGGTACATGCGCCTATTTGCTTATTTTCTGGATCTTGCTGTTGTAAATGCATGGCTTGTTTACAGACGTGATTGTGTGGCACTAAAGAGTAAATATATGCCACTGAAGAATTTCAGGCTTGATATCTCTATCAGTGCAAGATCCACAGGCCATAAGTTGAGAGGTGGCAAAAGATCAGCTTCACGACTTACACGAAGTACTTCCCGTGCTTCCAGTGTAGAAAGTGATGATGGAGATTTGTCAAGCTTGCAGATACCTACTCCAGTCCAGTACCAACGTGTGATAAAGCCTGATGACAGTGTGAGGTACGATACAACACTACATCACTGGCCAGTGAATGCCAAGACATTTACATGTAAGCATTGCAGCACAAAGAAACATCCAGTTGCATCCACTTTTGCCTGTCTCACATGCAAGGTAAATCTGTGCATAAAGGAGAAAAATTGCTTCGTCGAATTCCATTCTAAGTACAGATGCTCCTTGCTTTATGATGGTTCAACTTTACGACGGTGTGATGAAAATGGCCATTCAGTAGTCATCAAACCAAGAAAGTTTACAACGAAAAAATTGGCAGAGGCATTTGCTTGTTTCAATAGTGGTTTGCAGATGATAGAAAAAATGGAAGTCAATTATGAGAGATTTTCAATATTTGAAAGGCAAGTACAGGATGCTCTTGCTTGCTATAAAGAAATTTATAATGAAAAGAAGCAAACTGTCTAGTTAGAATTTTATATCTTCCTGAAGAAGTCTGTGCCTGTTCCTGAACCATCAACAAGCGGTGACAACCCAGTGCCTTCCTCCTCAGTATCATCTTCCAGCAGTTAATATTAGTTTTGTGCTTCACAGCATTCTTCAGGCCTGGTGTACTTTCGACTGACTACATTAATGGTGAGTACCTGTACAACACATCAGTACATGTACTGTACCTGTATCATCCTGCATCAAGACAATGTACTGTGAAATTTTTTTTCTTTTTTGTACTGCACATTTATTGATAGGATAAACTTGTATACATTTATTTACTATTCAGTACCAGTATTTAGTTACAGAAATTATTTGTTTATTTACTTATTTAGTGACAGTATTTATTTGCTTCCAGCAGGCGTGCATGAACGTGTTCGATAGGAGTGAATGGAGACGAATGGTATTTGGGACCTGGCGATCTGTTGGAGTGTGAGCAGGGTAATATTTAGTGAAGGGATTCAGGGAAACCAGTTATTTTTATATAGCCGGACTTGAGTCCTGGAAATGGGAAGTACAATGTCTGCACTCTAAAGGAGGGGTTTCGGGATATTAGCAGTTTGGAGGGATATGTTATGTATCTTTATACGTATATGCTTCTAAACTGTTGTGTTCTGAGCACCTCTGCAAAAACAGTGATAATGTGTGAGTGAGGTGAAAGTGTTGAATGATGATGAAAGTATTTTCTTTTTGGGGATTTTCTTTCTTTTTTGGGTCACCCTGCCTCGGTGGGAGACGGCCGACTTGTTGGAAAAAAAAAATTATTTACTTATCATATATTCATGTTTGACGTGTGATATTTTCAAATTACTACGGGTTCATCGGAACGTAACCCCATCATGAGTCGAAGAGCACTTGTAATCATCTTTTATAATGGTTGTTTGTTCTCAGGGAATACATGCAAATGATTATACAAGCTATATTCCTTTATAACCCTATACAGCGTTAAAATGTTGATATTTTGTTCTTTCTTGTATTTTTTGTATGACTTTATAATGTTGCAATCTGGTTCCATTTATTATTTTGGTAATGTCTGTTTGTATAATAAATTACAAAAAATACATGATTATTATTTAACCAACATACTATGCAAATGCTGTCTGTGTCTTGTGTACCAGTACTCGCAATTTTTTTTATTATATTACTAACACATCGGCCATTTCCCACCAAGGCAGGGTGGCCCAAAAAAGAATTTTCATCATCATTCACTCCATCACTGTCTTGCCAGATTTGTTCTTACACTACAGTTGTAAAACTGCAACATTAACACTCCCTCCTTCGAAGTGCTTCCCATCTCCAGGACTCAAGTCTGGCCTGCTGGTTTCCCTGAACCCCTTCATAAATGTTTCCTTGATCACACTCCAACAGCATGTCAAGTCCTAAAAACCATTTGTCTTCGCTCCTATCTAACACGCTCACTCATGCTTGCTGGAAGTCCAAGCCCCTTGCACACAGAACCTCCTTTACCCCATCCCTCCAACCTTTCCTAGGTCGACCCCTATCCCACCTTCCTTCCACTATACATTTATATGCTCTCCAAGTCATTCTCGTTTGTTCCTTCCTCTAAATATCTGAATCACCTCAACAACCCCTACTCAGCCCTCTGGATAATACTTTTAGTAACCCCGTACATCCTAATTTCCAAACTACAGATTCTCTGCATTATATTCACACGATACATTGCCCTCAGACATGACATCTCCACTGCCTCCAGCCTTCTCCTTGTTGCAACATTCACCACCCATGCTTCACCCAAATAAGAGCATTGGTATAACTATACTCTCATACATTCCCCTCTTTGCTTCCATGGATAACATTCTTTGTCTCCACAGACTCCTCAGTGCACCACTCGCCTTTTTTCCCCTCATTAATTCTATGATTTACCTCATGAAGATAACTTGTTCAGAGAACTGACAAATTGATAAATTAGACACATGTGCAACACTTGGGTATCTTTAATGATACCCAAGTGTTGCACATGTGTCTATTATATTGATTTATCTCATCTTTCGTAGACCCATCTGCTGACAAGTCCACTCCCAAATATCTGAATCCATTCACTTTCTCCATATTCCCTCCCTCCCATCTGATATCCAATCTTTCATTACCTAAACTGTTTGTTATTCTCATCACCTTACTCTTTCCTATGTTCACTTTTAATTTCTTTGTTTTATATACCCTACCATACATAAGGGGGATTACCAACAGACCCCTGGCAGTCTTCAAGCTGGCACTGGACAAGCACCTAAAGTCGGTTCCTGACCAGCCGGGCTGTGGCTCGTACGTTGGTTTGCGTGCAGCCAGCAGCAACAGCCTGGTTGATCAGGCTCTGATCCACCAGGAGACCTGGTCACAGACCGGGCCGCGGGGGGCGTTGACCCCCGGAACTCTCTCCAGGTAAACTCCAGGTACCAACCCTGCCAACCTCTACAACTTCTCTTCAATATCTCTCAAAAGCACAGTGTCATCAGGAAAAAAGCAACTGTGGAAACTCGCACTTTGTGTTAGATTCTTTATCTTTTAATCCCACACCTCTTGCCAACACCCGAGCATTCACTTCTCTTACAACCCCATCTATAAATATACTGAATAACCATGGTGACATCATGTATCCTTGTCTAAGTCCTACCTTTACTAGGAAATAATCTCCCTCTCTCCTCTATACTCTAACCTGAGCCTCGCTATCCTCGTAAAAACTCATCACTGCTTTCAGTAAACTACGTCCTATTCCATACATCTGCAATGTCTGCCACATTGCTTTCCTATCAACCCTATCATATGACATTTTTAAATCCATGTCACAAAAAACTTCTTTACCCTTATCTAAATATCGTTCACCTATATGTTTCCCTGTAAACACTTGGTCTACACACCCCCTATCCTTCCTAAAGCTTCCTTGTTCATCTGTGATCCTGCTCTCCGTCTTACTTTTAATTCTTTCAATAATAACTTGACCATACACTTTACCAGGTATACTCAACAGGCTTATTCCCCTACAATTTGTATACTCTCTTTTATCCCCTTTGCCTTTATACAATGGAACTATGCATGCTATGCTTGCTTGCTTCTTGTGCTTGCTTCTTGTGCTTGCTTCTTGCTTCCCTCTTGCTTCTTGTGCTTGCTTCTTGCTTCCCTCTTGCTTCTTGTGCTTGCTTCTTGCTTCCCTCTTGCTTGCTTCTTGTACTTGCTTCCCTCTTGCTTGCTTCTTGCTTCCCTCTTGTGCTTGCTTCTTGCTTCCCTCTTGTGCTTGCTTCTTGCTTCCCTGTTGCTTGATTCTTGTGCTTGCTTCTTGCTTCCCTCTTGTGCTTGCTTCTTGCTTCCCTCTTGCTTTCTTGTGCTTGTATCTTGCTTCCCTCTTGCTTGACTCTTGTGCTTGCTTCTTGCTTCCCTCTTGTGCTTGCTTCTTCCCTCTTGCTTTCTTGTGCTTGCTTCTTGTGCTTGTTTCTTGCTTCCCTCTTGCTTCATGTGCTTGTTTCTTGCTTCCCTCTTGTGCTTGCTTCTTGCTTCCCTCTTGCTTGCTTCTTGCTTCCCTCTTGCTTCTTGCTTGCTTCTTGCTTCCCTCTTGCTTGCTTCTTGCTTCCCACTTGCTTGCTTCTTGCTTCCTCTTCCTTGCTTCTTGCTTCCCTCTTGCTTGCTTCTTGCTTCCCTCTTGCTTGCTTCTTGCTTCCCTCTTGCTTGCTTCTTGCTTCCCTCTTGCTTCTTGCTTCCATCTTGCTTGCTTCTTGCTTCCATCTTGCTTCTTGCTTCCCTCTTGCTTGCTTCTTGCTTCCCTCTTGCTTCTTGTGCTTGCTCTTGTTCCCTCTTGCTTGCTACTTGCTTTCCCCCTTTGCTTGCTTCTTGCTTCCCTCTTGCTTGCTTCTTGCTTCCCTCTTGCTTGCTTCTTGCTTCCCTCTTCCTTGCTTCTTGCTTGCTTCTTGCTTCCCTCTTGCTTGCTTCTTGCTTCCTCTTCCTTGCTTCTTGCCCTTTCCCCTTCCTTGCTTCCCTTTCTTCCCACTTGCTTGCTTCTTGCTTCCCTCTTGCTTGCTTCTTGCTTCCCTCTTGCTTGCTTCTTGCTTCCCTCTTGCTTCTTGCTTCCATCTTGCTTGCTTCTTGCTTCCATCTTACTTCTTGCTTGCTTCTTGCTTCCCTCTTGCTTCTTGCTTCCCTCTTCCTTCTTGCTTCCCTCTTGCTTGCTTCTTGCTTCCCTCTTGCTTGCTTCTTGCTTCCCTCTTGCTTGCTTCTTGCTTCCCTCTTGCTTCATGTGCTTGTTTCTTGCTTCCCTCTTGTGCTTGCTTCTTGCTTCCCTCTTGCTTGCTTCTTGCTTCCCTCTTGCTTGCTTCTTGCTTCCCTCTTGCTTGCTTCTTGCTTCCCACTTGCTTGCTTCCTCTTCCTTGCTTCTTGCTTCCCTCTTGCTTGCTTCTTGCTTCCCTCTTGCTTGCTTCTTGCTTCCCTCTTGCTTGCTTCTTGCTTCCATCTTGCTTGCTTCTTGCTTCCATCTTGCTTCTTGCTTCCCTCTTGCTTCTTGCTTCCCTCTTCCTTCTTGTGCTTGCTTCTTGCTTCCCTCTTCCTTCTTGCTTCCCTCTTGCTTGCTTCTTGCTTCCCTCTTGCTTCTTGCTTCCCTCTTGCTTGCTTCTTGCTTCCCTCTTGCCCTTTCCTTCTTGCTTCCCTCTTGCTTGCTTCTTGCTTCCTTCTTGCTTGCTTCTTGCTTCCCTCTTGCTTGCTTCTTGCTTCCACTTGCTTGCTTCTTGCTTCCTCTTGCTTGCTTCTTGCTTCCCTCTTGCTTGCTTCTTGCTTCCCACTTGCTTGCTTCTTGCCCTTTCCCCTTGCTTGCTTCTTGCTTCCCTCTTGCTTCCATCTTGCTTGCTTCTTGCTTCCATCTTGCTTCTTGCTTCCCTCTTGCTTGCTTCTTGCTTCCCTCTTGCTTCTTGTGCTTGCTTCTTGCTTCCCTCTTCCTTCTTGCTTCCCTCTTGCTTGCTTCTTGCTTCCCTCTTGCTTGCTTCTTGCTTCCATCTTGCTTTCTCTTGCTTCATCTTGCTTGCTTCTTGCTTCCATCTTGCTTCTTGCTTCCCTCTTGCTTCTTGTGCTTGCTTCTTGCTTCCCTCTTCCTTCTTGCTTCCCTCTTGCTTCTTGTGCTTGCTTCTTGCTTCCCTCTTCCTTTTTGCTTCCTCTTGCTTGCTTCTTGCTTCCCTCTTGCTTGCTTCTTGCTTCCCTCTTGCTTGCTTCTTGCTTCCCTCTTGCTTCTTGCTTCCCTCTTGCTTGCTTCTTGCTTCCCTCTTGCTTGCTTCTTGCTTCCCTCTTCCTTCTAGCTTCCCTCTTGCTTGCTTCTTGCTTCCCTCTTGCTTGCTTCTTGCTTCCCTCTTGCTTGCTTCTTGCTTTCCTCTTGCTTGCTTCTTGCTTCCCTCTTGCTTGCTTCTTGCTTGCTTCTTGCTTCCCTCTTGCTTGCTTCTTGCTTCCCTCTTGCTTGCTTCTTGCTTCCCTCTTGCTTGCTTCTTGCTTCCCTCTTGCTTGCTTCTTGCTTCCCTCTTGCTTGCTCCTTGCTTCCCTCTTGCTTGCTTCTTGCTTCCATCTGGCAACTATGACATAGTCGTCATCTACCTTACTATCCTTCTCCTTCCCTCTATTATGTTTCTCCCTCTTAGTTTTTCCTCTTCCGTCTTCTTCCTCCTTCCTCTTTTTACCCCTTCGCCTTTAACTCTTCTTCATTACTCTCCTCTTCCGCTATTGTCTTCCCTTCACTACCTTCCAGGTACCTCCCAGGTACCTTCACTACCTTCCAGGTATCTTCACTACCTTCCAGGTACCTTCACTATCTTCCAGGTACCTTCACTACCTTCCAGGTACCTTCACTATCTTCCAGGTACCTTCACTATCCCCCAGGTACCTTCACTATCTTCTGGGTACCTTCACTATCCCCCAGGTACCTTCACTAACCCCCAGGTACCTTCCAGGTACCTTCACTACCTTTGAGGTACCTTCACTGTCTTCCAGGTACCTTTACTATCCCCCAGGTACCTTCACTACCCCCCAGGTACCTTCACTACCTGTCAGCATAGTTGCTGATCCCCTGTGTATGTATAT